GTGTGTGTGTGTGTGTGTGTGTGTGTGTGTGTGTGTGTGTGTGTGTGGCACACATGCCACACCCCCCAATAGCTTTGTGATTTTGTCACAGAGGAGTTTTTTGCTCAGTTGTTTGCTGCTTGGTATGTATGGCTTAGGTAACATAGCTAAAGGCACCCGTGGTTATTGCAATACATTTTTAGTTTATAAATGGAGGACTTTTAATGTGCATTTCTTGATTCTCTGTGTAATCAACAGTTCTTTCTCTCTCTCATAGTGGCTAGAAATAGAAAAATATTTGTGTCTGTCATTCCATTCATCAAATAATGTTCACATTTGGTTTCCATCGCTGGGAGATGTGTATTTGGAAATTGAATATACATAAGTACATTTTCACAAATTGAGCTTTTAGGTAGCCAAATTGATTTAACTCTTAGATCCATGTTGTAATGTATGACATTGGAGATATTCCGCTAAAATCATTTCAGGAGCATTCTGCCAGGTGAAGTTAGGAAAGGTATAATTTTGAGGGCAAGCAGGATGTCGCTCCTCTGCTCAGCTCTCTTGTGTGCTCTGTGCTGTCATTTGGAACAGATGCATTTTTATCCTAAATGCAATGGATGGTTGAAGGATGATTTAGTACTTGATTATTAGGGATCAAGTGTATGGAAATACCTTTCTGATTGATGTACCCTGGTGGTTGTTGTGTTTTTCTTTGGCTTCATTTTGAAAATAGCACTGATTCCAAGTGATGAATGAGTCACATCACGTCTAATCATATGGCACAACCAGTGAACTTTCCTTAAAAAGTGACCTGTCCTGTTACTTATTATTATTTTTTAAATTTAATTGAGTTTCCTCATTCCTCCCTACCCACAGTTACATGATCTTCTAGTGGATGGGACACAGTCACATAGACTTTAGAGTTGGTATTTTCTATAAGTCACAAGGTTATCCAAATCGCCACCTTGCAATGGTGAGTCCAAGCCAGAAGAGTCCAGCGCTGTTAGTGCTATTTGTTGAGCTGACCTGGGCATCGTAAGTGCCTGCTCCAGAAGGGAACTGTCAACCAGGGGAACACTGGGGTAAGTGTTTCTTGGTTTCTTTTTGTGTTTTTGGTTTGAAAATATATCACCTATCCAGAACTGGCAATTTGGTTAGTTCAATATCAAAATACTTACAAAGAAATGAAACATAAAAAGTCTAAGGGATGAAAATATAGCACAGCTCAGGTTCTAAGTCTTGTTCCCTTTTCTTGTGGACAGGGTGCTCATTCAAAGTTGCTTGTACCTCTGTAATAATTCTGACAAGTTCAGATCTTGGATTTTTATGATTTTTTTTTATTAGGGTAAAATACACATAATACGAAATTCACCATTTCACCCATTTTAAGGCATACATTTCAATGGCATGTAGCACATTTGCAGTACTGTGCATACATCACCTCTGTCTGGTTTCAGAGCCTTTCAGCAGCCAAAGGAGCTCTCTGCCCATTAACTTGTTCATCCCCAGTCCTCCCTCCTCCAGCCTCTGGCAACCTCTCATTTGCTTTCTGTCTCTATGAATTCCACCACTGTGATTACCTGAAATAAGCAGAGTCATGCAGTATTTGTCCTTTGGTGTCTGGCTTCTTTCACTTTGCATAATATCTTCAAGATTCATCCATGTTGTAGCATGCATTAGAATTTCATTCCTTTTTAAGGCTAATATTCCATTGTACATATACACATTTTGTTTATCCATTCATCCACTGATGGACATTTGGGCTGCTCCCGCCTTTTGGCCATTGTGAATAGAGCTTCACTGAACATTCCTATATGAGTATTGGCTTGAATACCTGTTTTGAATTCTTTGAGGTATATACCAAAGAGTGGAATCACTGTGTCATATGGTAATCCTCTCTTATAGAGGAACTGCCCCATTGTTTTCCACCATAGCTCTTGGCTTTTTTTTTTTGTAGTAAAGTGGAAGAAGAATAGAGACCAGGTGCTATGGGTGGGCATGTTTATAGCATTAAGAGACAAAAGGCAAGGATCCCAACTCAAGCACATACCCCAGTAGGGGATATGTGTCCTGTGTTCATCAGCCTCCTCTGTGTGCAAGGACTGGGCTCTGAAGAACAGAGGGATCTGAAGAAGGGTTAGGGAACTTGTTTGTGCCAACATCCTCACCCCTGGTGTGGTATCAGGATCTCTCTTTCTCTTGACGATGCCCAGGCCTTATCCCAAATTAACTAAATACACATCTCAAGGGCAGAGCCTGGCATCTATTTCCTGATGCATTTGTTGTTAATACAGTTGATCATGGTGCACAGCCAAGGGATGAGAACTACAGCTGAAGTGTCAGATTGTAAGATGTGTTCATTGGAGACACTGATACAAGACGAAACCAAAGGTCACACCTGAGTGCTTACCACATGCCACACTGCTCTCCACCCTTGATGCTTAGTGTATCTGGTAGCCCTCACAATAGCCTGATGACATAAGTGTCATTATTATCATCCTTTGCCAAAGAGAAAACAGAAGCCCAGAAAGGCTATGTACTTAGCTGTGTGTTGAAGCCCTGGGGCTCCAGCTGGCAGAAGGGCTCACTACAGCTAGCTCCAGCTGCCTCTTAAGTTTAGCATCCTCAGGAAAGGTGGGAAGGAAATATTCTGGGAGGTTAGTGGACAGAAATTGATTCTTCCCGCTCACAGAATAGACACCTTTCTCTGGGTGTTGGTGTTTGCCTTAATGCCTGAAAGCTGATTAGAGTTTATTTGTAGAGATGGAGAGTCCACCACCCCAGAAGAAGTGGCAGGTGAGCAGAGGAAAGGGGCTTGGCATTCTGGGAGCATTTGATGTGGGCTTAGCTAGAGCAAAGGGGTCTGAAGAATGATGGGGGAGAAGACATTTAGAAAGGTGCTCTGGGGCGTCATATGTAAACTGAGGTAATTGGACTTTGTTTTGTAGTGTGTGAGAGAGACAGTGGAGGTTTTGGAGCAGGGCAGAAGGTGACCAGAAAAAGTTCCAGAACCACCTGAGCAGTGGCACAGCAGGAGAGGGAAGAGGCTGTGGGGAGCAGGGGGCTCCTGAGCACCTGGGCCAGTGTGGCTTTGGGGACACCACAGTGGCAGAAGGCAGCAGGCCCGAGCATTTACTGAATGTGGCTGTGAGGTGGTGGGAGGAGGCATAGGTGACACTGGGCTATATAACAGGAAACTAAGGACAGGGGCTCAAAAGTGACACTGGGTCATATATGTGGAAGGCAGCCTATTTAAGGGAGCAGTATTTGGAATACAGTTTAGAAGAATTTATTTTTCCTGAACTAGATAAATTGATGAATCCTCAATTATCCTAGTGGCTCAGGATTCCAAAGAATGGATCTTTTGAAGAGATAAATCCCATGGATCTTTTAAAAATGACAATGATAATGTTTTGGTGTAGCCAGGTGAGCAATGAAGGAGGTTAGAGGACAGGGCCCCACTGGGAAAGTGGGTCAGCCCTCAAGGCCTGACCTCTGCCTTTACCTCCCTACAGGGAGGAATTTCTCTAGCCTGTGAATATAACTGCTAACTTATTCACCATTATTATTCCTGCCACCTCATGAATAATGTCTCCACCTTCATTTGCATGTGTCTGTTACTTTGCTTGGTCTTTAAAGGCTGTGTATAAATTTGTAAATTACTCCTTCTTTACATGCGTAAGGCAAATGCTCCTTAATGAATCATTTGATGAATTTCTTAAAAAGTGAATAATCGTCTTCACCAGCCAGATTCTTACTCTGTAAATTCTTTTGCCAGCTTGGTTTTGTTTAATGTGGGGTATAACTGTACTGGCATCAAATTTTTGCCCACGAATAGGAGAATCAGTCCATGAATAGGACTACCAGTATATTAGACAGGCCCATCACAGACCTGTTGGTGTTGGTAGGACATAGAACAAAGCTAAAACACCACTGGTGACTGTGAGAAAGTTACAGCATCACCCTGTGTGACTGTTATTTCCAGTTAAGCCTTTAGTTTTAGAACTGCCAGCACCCATTCCAGAGGTGTGCTGTCCAGTAAGGTAGCCCCCAATCACACTTGGCGATGGCTGCCATATTGGACAGTGCAAACACAGAGGGTACTTACTGATGCAGACAGGTCCATTGAGGCAGCACTTCTGTAGAATAATGAAGACAAAGGCCACAGACTTTACTGGACTGAGTGTTATTGGCAAAAGGTTTTGTGTTATGATTTATTCTTTAGGATTCCCTTTGCTAAGTGTGAACCCCAAAGTCCCACAGGGCTGTCTGTCTCTCCATAATAAGGCAGAAGGGCCCTGGGTCCAGCCCCAAATTTGGGCTGTTAACTGAGTAATACTCATCAAACAATTGACTCAGCAAGGTCAATTCTTTGTCCCTTGACTCTTAAAATTCTCCTTGTGATTAAAAGCAAAGCAAAATAACCCTCTATCACAGTAGGGCAGTTTGAGGAAAATGATAGTTTCTACCTATAGAAGACGCTCATTTATGCTACGAGGCAGCAAGAAAGTATCTGGGGATGAAAACATGCAAAACAATGGTCAGTTTTTCCTGTGAGCAGAGGGGACAGTGAGTACGTGTCTCACAGATGTCAGAAACTGTTACCCACAAGAACACGCTTGCCAGGTCATGGTCTGCAGGGGCTCTTCCTGTCTTAGTTGCTGTTCTCCCATCCAGAGCTCATCTATGTGCTCTTCCATTTCATTGTATGTGGCTCTTGTGGCCTTTGGGGAGGTAGAGAGCTAAGAGCTTTGGGCTGCATTGGCACAGAGGAGCCTCTGTTGGTGCAGACACACTCATCCTGGAAGGCTGTTCACTTTTTCATGTCAGGACTTGATCTAAGTACCAAGCCACCAGCCACCAAAGCATCACCCATTACCAAAGCAGTATATCTCTGCTCCCATGTCACACTAGAGAATGGGAAACCATTTGAGATGTATTTGAAGGTTTTGGGGGTTTTTTTGGTCTGTATGAGATTTTATGCAAATATATCAGATTTTTTGCCTACATTGCAAAGATTTTTAATACCTAGGGATTTGATGCGATTAAAAAATAATTTTCCAGCATGCAGTTCTAAAGCAGAAAAAAAAAAGGAAGACTTCAAAGGAGAAAGGACAAGATGGAACTTTAGGAGGTGTCCAGAGCTGGTTTTGTTGAACTTGAGGGCTTGGCTAAGGGTCCATCAGTGTCTTGCTTCTTGGTCTTCATCCCTCACAGCAGTTCTTCACAGCTAAGCAGTGATCATCACTGTGGGGCTTCTCTCTGAGGGTGTAGTGGATATGAAGAGGATGGGGAGGAAAGGGTGAAGCTCACATTTTTCTGGATTCAGAACTGAGGCTGGCACTGGGGAAATTCCCATGTGATAATGGCTGGTTCTGTGCCTCCATCTGGTGGAGAGGTCAGTGCTTGGTGGTTCTTCAGATGCTGGTCCCCTGCCTGTAGCAGGTGAGCAACCAATGGGTGTTGATGTCACTGTGACCATTGCTACACAGGTGGTCTTTAGCAGCAGTCCTTGGCATGCTGAGAACTTGTCGCCTACCTTAGAGACTCCACACCTTTTGCTTTTTTTAAAAATCGACTTTGTTTTACAGGGCAGTTTTAGGTTCACAACAAAATCGAAAGGAAGGTACAAAGATTTCCCATTACCTGCACCCCCACCCCACATGACCCTCCCCCACTATCAACATCTCCCACCAGGAAGGTACATTTCTTACAATCAGTGAACCTGCATTGACACATCACTGTCACCCAACGTCCAGGATTTACATTAGGGTTCTTGGTGTTATACATGTTATGGGTTTGGACAAATGTATGATGACCTATTTCCATCATTGTAGTATCATATAGAATACTTCCACTGCTCTAAAAATCCTCCTATTGATCCCCCAAGCCCCTGGAAACCACTGATCTTTTTATTGTTCTCTGTATTTTCACTTTTTCCAAGTGTCCTGTAGTTGGGATATACTGTATCATACTGTATCATCATACTGTATATAGCCTTTTCAGATTGGCTTTTTTCACTTAGCAATATGCATTTATGGTTTCTTCGTATACTTTTGTGGCTCTGTTTCTTTTTAACACTGGATAATTTTCCATTGTCTGCATGTTTGTTTATCCATTCACCTACCAAAGGTGCTTCCAAATTTGGGCAGTTATGAATAAAGCTGCTATATACATCAGTGTTCAAGTTTTGGGGGGCCGTAAGTTTTAATCCTCTATTTCTATAGTATTGGTCTCATGAGACCACAGGGGCACTTGGATGTGCTTTCTGGCGAGGTGAACTCATGGAGTGGCGGTTCTTGTTCACCAGCTGACAGTGGTTTTGTATCAGGTCTTGCCCATGGTCAGCACCATTGACCCTGACTCTGTTCCCAGTCCTGGAGAGTTAATTCCAGGGGAGAAGGGGCAAAGGGAGGAGGGTCCTCATCTCTCCCTCTTCACCTGTTGAACCTCAGTGAGGAAGCTGTCTGACTTAGTCCTAGGGAGGGCACCCCAGCCCCACTCCCCCCGACTGCCCCAGCTAACTGGGTCAGAGCGTGGCATGGTGTGGTTTGGCAAGTGGCTGGCCCAGGTCACAATAAGGACTCAGTTTTGGTCCAGTTTCTGCCAGGCTTTTCTCCCCATGTTCTGATGCTATTTCTAAAGTATAGGACAGTTAGAAAGTCCTCTTTGGTTTCTGTCAGCTCTTGTCCCTGAGAAAAGAGAACTGACCCATGTTTGAATGACTTTAGTTGCATAGTATTAGTTCTTATTTTTATACCACAGTATTAAAATAAGAGGGATGACTGCCTTTTGAGAAGAAACCTTTTGAAGCACGCACTCTGCTTATGCCTGCCTTCCTGGTATCCTGGCACTAACTGGGCAGTACGTGCTAGGACTTAAGGACCTCATCTGTCTGGGGTTTAGATTCCTCAGGGAGGCAACTAGATGGAGTCTGGGTCAAAAGGAAAGATGAGTGTGGCCAGCAGTGTCTCATTCAGCTTGAGAACTGAGGGGTCTTGGGCAGCTTTTCTGCCTTTACTGACCAAAGGCACAGGCAAGGGGCAGACCTGCGTTTGACGGGAAGTCAGATACTGCAAAGTGGAGAAGAATGAGGCTGCTAATGACCCTTAGTTGCCTTCTGTCTTACTAAACCATGAGCAGGCTGAATTTCGGTATACAATAAAGCTCCCTTTACACAGAAAAACCATTCAAGTGATACCGAGAGTGAGAGCTGAAATCCTTGCCTAATTTCAGATTAAGCAAAACATAAGCATTTGGCAAATGCCAAGATTGTAAAGTTGTGCAAGCAGAAGAATCACTTTGAAATTTGAAGCGCAGCCCCAGATGTTTGGGAGTATTTCCATTCGGCTGTTCCTCCTAGCGTGACTGGCTTCATACCTCCCAGACACTGAAAATCCATTCCTGAATGTTTGCTCTTTGCCAGTTTATTGCACATGCCATCTATGAAGAAGGAGTACCACTGAGTGCCAGTTGATTAAGAGAGAATTGTGTTAAGGGGGGAGGAAGTCAGGATTGCTCTCAAAATACTCATTTGTCAGTGATTGAATCGCAGCACTTTTGAGCTCTGTGTTTTGGAATTGGTGGCATAAAGATAGATGTCAGACAACCGGATCTTGCTCTTGTGGGGTGTATTGGTTCAAAGACAAGGTGCCTATTGCCAGACTCTAGTGGGAGTTATACGCATGACAGCATTCAGGGAGCAGCATTTGTTTCTTTAGCTTGGTTGGGGAGATTGGGGTCCCCAGGAAGTGGGAACTGAATCTGCTCTGGTCAGAAACTGGTGCTGCCCTGGA